TATAATCATAACAAATAAATAAGTAGGATACAAAAATCATGGATTGAATTATATACACCATTACGAGTAGATATAAATGTATTTAACTTGTTTAAATTTGTTGCACATGAGAGAGTATACATCTATATAATGATATTTAATTTTGAGTATTCGTTTTAGAATCCCTTTATTGAAAAGACTTCACAATAAAAATGGAAAGTCTATGGAAAATGCATTTTAGCTTTTTAACAAACTTATTAATTTAAACAGACTTGTTCTGTTTGTATATATTTCTGATCTTAAACTCTTATAAGCGTCACACACAATCAAAATTATATTCATCTTCTAAGTCATTCTTGAACACATTAAACATTTTCTGTCCTCCCTACTTATATTTCTATGTCTCCCCTTTTCTATATTAAACTTAATTTGAGATATAAGTCTTAGTTTTGTGAGGGTATGCCTATGTTTTTGATTGTCTAAAATTAATAAATATGGAGACAATTCAAAACTGTCTTTTATTTCCTTGAATAGCATTAGTGTACTTGAATTTCGCACTTCTTCTCTCCACTGTGAAATGTATATATCCTTTAAACGGATTTTAACTAATTCCAAGAAATGTGGCACATTAATGATCGAGTCTCGAAATAACCAGAGGTCGGGGTAACCAGTTTGTTTTGCCATTTTCACTTCTTAACATTTCAATATAGAGTATATAGTATTTTGTTTTTGTTAAAACTATTCATAAGTTAAAATCAGTACTTCAAAATCCGTGGCTTTCTATATATTATAAGAGGATATCTTCTGGTTTCTCCATAAAGAGCTTAATTATTTGTTGTCATTTTAATATTCAGTGTTTTTTAAGAACAGTGTTTTTTTAAAAAAATATCGGGTGAACTTTCCGATTTTATCAGCAGGCGAAACTCCTCAATGCTCGGAGCTATAATTCATAATGGGTTTAACATATGCATCAAGTAAGTCGAATGATATATTTACTGGAATGATTAGGTCTTATGTAAGTTTATTTAAAGAGAACATTATTTAAGTATTTAAATGCGTGTCAATTATTTTCTGAAATGTGCCACCTGATGACAGTTTAAGATCAAGAAGGGGAAAAAACCTAGCGAAAGTTGCGTATAACTTAGCTAAGTAGTGAGTTTGCATCTTAATTTGTTTTAGACCATTAGCATATCTAACTCCTGCTTAAGAGTTAATTAACATCCCATGAAAACACGAAGTGTTTATTTCTTTGTGTAACATGTCACAACTTCAGAATGATTTAAAACATATAAAACATGTGAAAAGTCTTACAACTAGATATACAGGATAGGCAGTCTCATATTCTTAAAAAAACGCAATCTTGCTCAGTATCAAGAATCTGTAGATTCTGGCGTTGATTAATTTCTGTCTAATCATAATCTATCGCAACTATTTCATACTCGTTATCGTGTTTTGATATATACTATACTATACTATGTTGCTCATTGATTGACAGAAACCATAAAATATATCCGACGGACTAGAACCCAGGCTATCCATTGTCCTACACGATTTAGTATACCCGCGAATGTGATCCATAACATAATAACATATAGTCGATACATATAGAGCTATCTCCTTGGCGACTCTCTCAAGCACGACAGGACCACCGTAGGGAACGTGTTACAGTATCGCGTTTTTCGGTTACAGTATAGAATTTTCAAGATGGAGGATTATTTATGGGAAGAGAGGTAGTTGATTTTTATTCAGGTCCATACTACTAGTAGTTAAGTTTCTAAAAGATGTTTTTGTGCTTTGCTTGTAAGGAACAGAATCCGGTATCTAGTCATATATTTCTTCAGACCCTGCACCGCAGATTTATCGCTATATTGTCTCATAAATGTGCATATTTGACGGTTTAAAAATTTGAATCGAGAGACCAATGCATTTTTCTCCCATTCCGACATTATTTAAGCATGCCTAGATAAAGTAAATCTACAAAACGTTAGTCCTTTGTGTTTAGAAACGTTTATAAAAGTAAATGACCAGTTGAAACTATTTTCATGTTGGTAAAATGCGTTTGAAAAAATAAACAATGTTACAGTATAGAGCGAGGTTAATTTTGGAGGGTTACAGCATGGACCTAGCGACTTTGATCCAATTTTGTTACAGTTTATACCCAGATTTCGGTTACAGTTTAGATACTCGCCAAATTTCAAACAAAGTTCGTTATGAAATGACTCATACATTAACCGGGGAGGGCCGACCGCTAATGTTGTAAGAACTTGGGCCCAACCCGTTTGCTTTTGCTGTTTAAAATACATATAAAATTTGTATCTGTATTGTATATACATGTATATAGCAATAAAATATGATTAAACAATAAACTCATACCTTTCTATTTAATACATTTTTAAAAGGTTGTATTACTTTTTTTCTTCAGCAGAAAAGTTATGGTTTGATATTTTTCTTACTGAGACTTTTTGCAGAATAAGTAATGTCCTAAGTAAGGACTGTTTTCACGACAACAACAGTAACTTTTATCGAACTGTATTGAGAGAAGAAAGATTATTAATTGCTTGATTTCATTACACATTATAATAATTCCTATTAGTAATAAAATAGAGAAAAAAGAATCCTTAACAGAAGTCCAAAACGGAAAACATGATAATGTTGCAGGCTCAGTTTGATTAAACCTGTTCATGGACGGTAGTAATAACTGCAAGCTACCGTCCACGCCTCCTAGCACCGGCTTCAGTAGAATTCGTATTAAACATGAACTGGTACACTTTAGATTTTTAACATCTGTGGATGTGTTCATATGGCGGTTATCATGGAACCTTCAATGTGACACGTTATTGTCATTCTATGAAAAGCGGCATATTACCCCCAGGTGCCCTAAACGAAAATACAATGAGTGAAACTAAATAAAATGAAATTTTGAGAGGGGATCGGAGGTTATGAAGCCTGCATACCATAGATAAGCTGCCAAAAGACACAATTAACAAGAGGCAATACCCTAAGAATGATTAAACAGTATTTAAGTGAGCAATACTGCAACCTTAAATTTTATTTTAAGTTGGAATTTCCATCTACCATAATGTATTTTGCAGGTATTTAAAAGGGTTTGTTCCGTTTGGCTTTCTTGGATTTTAAGTTTCAACGACACTGAGGTCATGTGAAAACATTCTTTTGTGTAAAGAAAAACCCCAGATACCCTTTGTGAAACATTTCAGACACGAGCGGGCACCTGACTAGAACCACCGACCTTCCGTAAATTAGCTTGAAACCATGATTGGATTTCAACTGCAGTAGTAAATGAAAGATGAATTGAAGTCGACGACCTTATCCCGACTCTGCCACTATTAGGTACCTCAATCAGGCTCACTAGAGAAGATATTGTAATTGTCTGACCTTAATTTATACTCTATAACTTTCAATATTATTTTCTTTTTCAGAAACATGAAAACTGCTATACAGGATGTCTGAAATAAAAAAAAACGACTTTTAACTTAATAATGACAAAATAGTCGTAACTTCAACAAAGAAGCATTCGAAATGACGCCATGATCATGATTTTATTTGAATGCTTTTGGTTCGAGACGAGAAGGGTCTTTAAACATTGCCTTTTTTGGGGTTTTCGTATCCCCGATTGCAACCAAAACTATTTGAACAACTTTATTGGTAGAAAGTCATGTAAATTTCATCACATTTAGTCAAGTAGTTACTGAGCGGATGAGATTGCACACACATGTGTACGACAGACGGACGAGTAGCCATCGGGCCAATAAGCTCACAGAGATTTAAAAGTCTATGTAACATTCATACATTTTACCTAGTATATATAGAAAATATCGAAGTCTAAACTGTAACCAAAATCTGGGTATAAACTGTAACAAAATCAGATAAAAATCGCTAGGTCTATGCTGTAACCCTGCACAAATCACCTCGCTCTATACTGTAACATTGTTTATTTTTTCAAACGCATTTAACGAACAGGAAAATAGGTTCAACTGGTCATTTACTTTTTTAAACGTTTTCTAACATAAAGGACTAACGTTTTGCAGATTTATTTTTTCTATGCATGCATAAATAATGTCGAAATTGGAGAAAAATGCGTTGGTCTCTCGATTCAAATTTTCAAACTGTCAAATCTGCATATTTATGAGACAATATAGCGATAAATCTGCGGTGCAGAGTCTGAAGAAATATATGACAAGATACCGGATTCTGTTCCTTACAAGCAAAGCACACAAACATCTTTTAGAAAAACTGAACTACTTGTAGTATGGACCTAAATAAAAATCACCTACCTGTCCTCCCAACAAATAATCCTCCATCTTGAAAATTCTATACTGTAACCGAAAAACGCGATACTGTAACACGTTCCCTACGGTGAGGACAGTCTCGCAAAATACCATATATGTGTTTTGGTTCTGGTTAAATTTTTATTGTATTTAGACGTCACACCTACTTGAAACGTATTCGATTTTAATCTTAACATACGAAAATATTTAAACGAGAATATGAGGCAATAGCAAAACTGTACCATTGTTGACGACATGCGCTTGTTCGGAGTAGCGATAGAGCGATTTACCGTACACATCCGAAAGCCAAAACTCTGTTGTTAACCCAGTGTGTAATTTGTGAGTGGTGACATATCCTACATCAATGCTCGAGGCCATCTCACTTCAAGATAGGACATACGCATAACACATATTTTGCCTTTCTAAAACTCTAAAAATATTTCGTGAGAAATATAATAGATAAAGAATTTTGTTTAGCCAACAGCACTTTATTTAAATTTATTTTTATTTCTTTTACAATTCCTGCATTGAAATGACTGCTGTAAAGAAATTCTATGCAGTAGCATACCTGTTTATAAATAGCATTCTAATTTTCTTTTTGCGAGTGGAAATTCGTCTTATTTCGACTCAGCAAAAATGAAGTAAATGGCTACAATAAACTTTGAATAACGTGATAAATTAGTATTTTGGTATAATGTTCAATACATCAGCTCATTCAAATAATATTGTTTTCAGGCAAAAAAGGCAAAAGAGGAAATAATAAGGAGTGCAAAGAGAGAGTTTCAGGAAGTATGATTTTATCTTACAATACATACATGTATATACAGATGGTAAATGTTCATAATTTACCTAAAGGAAATAAACTCTACATTAAATTTCAAGTGTCTTAGTTATAGATTAAAAAGAGGGATCAGAAAACCGGTCTGATTTGATACATATCATTGGGGCATCGCTTTATCTTCAATAATTATTATCTAGATACAACTTTGATCACATGTGCAAATAATAAAATTTTACTATCCGATTTAGAAATATTATGATTTAATGTTGTAAAACCTCCCTATTTTCACTCATTTTACTCTAAAGATGTGAATAAAACGAAAAGAATCTGCGAAAGGAGCATAATTATATTCTTTAGAAATATCAAACATGTGTTGAAGAATGTTATAATAATAAATAATAATTTAGAAGAATATTGAATTTGTAACACTTTGATAAAATAGCGCTTGAAGTGAAATAATTTTTCAAGAAAATAGCAAAGTATAAAGAATTTAAAGTGATATTTTGACTTCGATTGAAAATACTAAATGACCTTTACTATACTTATTGCAAAAATGCTAAAGCAGCAAAAGTATGATAAAAAATAAATAAAAAGTTAAAGATTTTATTTGTACGATATATAATATGTCTGTTAATGATTGCTTTTTCTATGTTCTCGTACATTTGAAAACGAGGGCTTATGCCCGGCCCGAGATCAGCCAAATAAGTCGTTCAGATACGATCCCTATTATTTGTTATTAATTTCTGTGTATTTGTTGGTTCGTGCGGTAGGCGTCCGTGTCTCTCTCTCTCTCTCTCTCTCTCTCTCTGTGTGTGTGTGTGTGTGTGTGTGTGTGTGTGTGTGCGTGTGTTTCGACAATAACACGTTTTGTCTTTTTCATATTTCTTTTCAGATAAGGAATGCACTTCGACAAAAACGTCATCGACTACAGTTTCTTCTGAAACTCTGCCTTCAGTTTCGTCAACAGGTACGCCCTGTCTTAGGAAAAATATACTATTTACATTCCGCACATAGGCAAAAAATGAATGCAATACTTTCATTAAGACAATTTATGCAAAGCTTATGCAATTTATGCAAAGCTTATACACGGGTGATAGAATTTCAATAGTTAAGTAAAAAGGTTATTCTTAAATTGTTGTTGTTTGTAGTATCAACGTCCAACCCGACACATCAACACTTGTAATATAATCAAGTACAATTCAGCCGTAAATAAGTATATTTTCATCTTCCACTCGCACACGTTAAATCTTAACTTATTATATACATGTATATCAAACGCTTCAGAATGATAAAATTTACTTAGTTATTTATTGATGATACCACATGAAAGCTTTTCATAAAAATGATAAAACATTGTCTTGTTCTCTCTGTGAAATAAACCAGTATAAGTATCACCTGAGGTAACACGATCGCAGCCCGTGTAGGGCTCGAATCCACAAATTTTGGGATATCATGCAGCCACCTCACCCCCTATCCAATCAATCGCTCCTCTCATTTTGTATGATACATAAATCAAAAGTGGTCTGACACGATTTAATCTACAGAATTTATGATTTACCTTAAATGGTTATTGTGACCCGATTTTGTATGTTTAAAATCTTTTTAATATTTTGCAGAAACATGTAACAGAATAATGATTTAACTTTGAACCGCATCCTAAATGAGTTTTATTACATTATATTGTTTGTCGTGACGATATTTTACATGATGAATGTAGAAAATGAAAATTTTGTTTCACTTTTGTGCATTGTTTTAGAATATTCTGCCATAAACCCTACGACTACCGTAACGGAGTCGAAAGTAGTCCCGCCTATGACTGTGACAGAAACAACTGAAAGAACTAGTGGTAAGTTGACAAGATGAATGTTATCAGAAGTACCTCAACCTGCTGAATTTCAGTTTGGAGCCGTCTATTTTAAACTTTAAGGAATTCAGTATCAAAATATAAAACAAATTTGGTACGTACAGTATAGACCCTGGAAGTGAAGACTAACCTGGCTCTATACTGATGGTTAAGGCTAATCAATATAAGTTCCAGAAGATATTATAGCATAATAATAAAAAATGTTTGTCAAAAACTTGATCCCTCGGAAGCATTAAAAACAGCAAAATTACATAAAAATTGCAGAATCGGTTTATGACATTATTGTGAAATGACCAAATGGTTTAATTCAACGTAATACATACTATTTAGAATCTCTCAATACTATATGCATTTACGTATATATCTTGTCAAACATATGCAAAATTCAAATAATTAATTGTTGATTAAGAATCACATACTGCAAACACCGCTTGAATATATTTCCATATAAGCACAAAATATAATTTACCGAATTTGACTTTGATAAAGACAAAGAAGTTAGACAAAATGATAAAGCTCTGTGTGTAGAGGGGTAAATGATCTTTACACATTAAACGAAAATTGTCAAAATATATATTCGTTATTAATGATATACGGTAAATGCAACCTTTTATTGTACGATTTAATATTGAAGTCTGCTTAAGCCGGTGCTAGGGGTCGGTAATGAACAGGCTCAATCAAACCGAGTCTGCAACATTTTCAATTTTGACGAGTTTCTTTAGGGGTTCGTCTTTTCTCTATTTTACAATGACTGCCCCGCAAGTTCCACAGAAAGAATCGGGTATGTTTTAAATTGATTTAATGCAAAAATTAAGTCTTTGCATTGATGCTACTCTTGATACTTAATGGCACATATATGATTTAACTTTCACGATCTCTGATTAGATGCATAAATGATACTTTAGGGTGAAGATATAAAGATAGTTCTAATATTGTTATACAAAATATAACAGCTATAACTTTTCGGAAAGATAGATAAACACTTTTAAAAGTGACTGATCATTCAGTTCCTTTTTTAAATTATGAGTTTTAATCATATCATGTGAGATATTATATTAGGAATATTTATTTGTTAAAAACGCTTTCTTAAGTCAGTTTTTTGGTGTGTTCGTGGCCGAGTGGTTTATGTCGTTGGTTTCAAACCACTCCACCCTCACTGCTTTTGGCTTTTATCCCAACAGACACTTTAGATACTTTCATGTGCTGAAGCTATCCAGCTTACGGAACACCAGTGGTTTGTGCCTGAATTAATGCATAAAAGGACACTTAAGGTCTTCTACTACCAGTAAAACTGGAAAGTCACCATATGACCTATATTGAATAAAAATTACAAAAACGATATGCAAAAAAATACAACATATTTTGACACATTTTTTTTTCAGTAATAGAATTCTAATCATTTTGTGTGCTTAGCACACAGCAGTTATAATACCCGACATGAAACACGGTACGAAAGTCAGCGTTGTTTTCATACATTCTAACTTCGTCATAATCAAATTTATTGTTTATCAAAATAGTTTTATATTTAGATACATTCAAGAATTACTAATGGTTTTTGATAGAAAAGTATTGATTTACGAGTCGCTGGTGAGGCGAAATCACTATGTTTGTGCGACGTAAAATCCAACAAAAAATAATAAAAAACCCAATTATTTTATAAATCAAAAAACAATTTGCTTACACAGAATTATGGGAAAAGATAAATCATATTCACTTTAACCTGAAATTATCTTTAGTGCTTTCTTTAGGAAGACAGAGGTGTCAAACACGATTTGGTTTAATGCTACGTCAAAAACTCATAAAGGAAATACGCGAAAAGTTTGAATAGAATATCCACAATATTCGTATACGAAATGCGCTATATGTGGTATTACTCTAAAAATACCTTGATTAAAATTATTTGAATTTCTTTTCCAGAGATAAACGCTGTATACATTGCTGCTCCAGTTGCCTCTTGTCTTGTTGTTTTGATGGTGCTTCTTTTATTTCTTTGGTGGCGGTAAGTGTTACATAAGAGGCTCATATTAAATAGAAGAGAATATAAATATGAAACTTTAGAGACTACTAAAAGATAATTAAATATTAAATCAAAGCACAGAAGGCGCTGAATTTGTTTGGGTCTCAGAATGTAAGAAAGGTGCAGGTTGTGAGATTATATGTTTAGTGCCACCAATGCTTTCCAGCGTTTTAATTGTAGTAAATTGGCTATAAGACTAATTGCAACACTGATATTCAATCCAATGTTTATTTGACTTTAACAATTTAAAAAAATGAGTTACCTTTACTGGGATTTGAACTCCAGACCTCTCGCTTCCTAAGCGAGCCCGGAAACCCTTCAGCCACGGTGAATTTATATGTGAACGGCCTGAAGAAAACCATATTATTCTAAATTAGGGCTTGTAACGACTTTAACTGTTGTTTAAACACAGATGTAAAATAATCCTGGAGCTTACTATAAGCATGTATATTTATAAAGAATCAAAGGGCTGCAAGTTCTGTGGTATTTTCTGATCTTTGCAATCTAAATCGTACTGTATATCTGTATGCATTTTCATGTATAAGTTTATTTTTATGTATTATAATTCCTTTTGTAAGGCACCAGAGTTTGATACATACGGAATTCTGCATAACTAGAGTTGCGTCAAAAAATCATTTATGTTCTTTTTTACGACAGCCACACTTTATCCTTGTATATCATGGCTACTTCCTTAACAAAAACACTTAAAAAAAAGAATTTAACAACAAAAAAAGTTTCCTCGACTGGGATTCGAACTCGAGACCTCTCACTCACGAAGCGAGCGCGTTACCACTGTAACACGGAGAAATTATACACAACTTGTCTGAATAATATCAAGTCATTCTAAATTTAGAACTTCCATTGCAGTTCGGGTTTGTAATCCTTATTAATTTCGAGGTATTTTGTTCAGGGTAAACCTAAATATTTTAGCGAAAATCCTCTCGCCCAATCAGTCCGACATGTAGAATCTATATATTCCACTACTCGGTTTGTGTAGTATTCGGTAATCGACATGGCTAAAAATAGTATTTTCATTGATAAAATCATACTCATCCGCGTAATTTGTGATTGTGCATTTATTGACAATTCTATAAGCCAACGCTTTTGTTTAACTTTAAATGCGTTGTAATTTGTTGGATACTTGTAACAAAATAAAACATTTCTTTCTTTTAAATCGCTAGTTTTAAGCTGTTTTGAGAACTACTTGTTGTTAGGTTTGTCGTAAACTTCTGTGTCAGAGATTGAATGTCCGCTGTGTATTTAGTTATTTTCGATCAGAAAATACAATAAAACAATATTAGAAATCTTCGACCATTCGGGAATTACTTTGCTTGAAAATTGATGCGCCTGTCTTTGACCATCTTTACGCAGTGATCTCCCCTGAATTTTTCGGCTTTAATGTACATACAAAAGGGAAGTAACCGCTTCAAAAAAGTGGACTACTTTCGGCATTTGCAATTAACAACATTAGACTCTGAAATTTCGCTACCATTATTTGTTTGGTCTGACGACCCAAACAAATAAAAATGATATCATCACATCTGCAGCAATTCGAATAAATAGTTATGATTGATGGGATATCTATTTTTATGCATTGGAATTATTCCTGTAATCAACTTTATTATAAAATCTGCTCAGATAAATGGTATTTATAGAATATAGAATGATACCAGGTTGTTTATATTACAGACATAATAAATGTAATCTCTCTGGTACGCTGCACACACTTAGGAAACGAGAGCCGGGTGCATTGATTACAAATAAGACATACAAAGCAAGCGGTATAGATCAACATAGGTTCATGGATGATATACGTCAGTCTGAAGTTAATGAGTATGCAGAAATATCTTTAGATAACATGAATACTGACAATTCCATGGGAGATGATTATCAAGAAATAAAGGAAACAAATGATGATAAAACTGACAGAAACAAATCGTATGCACATATTAAGCTATCAGATAGGGACTTCGTTGATACGAATGATACGAACTACTCTCATATAGATATTGGAAAGGGGGCAAATAGCATACAATTCGATAAAACATACGCACAAACAAACGCAGTTGATGCGTCAAATAAACCTGAAATGAGCTGGAAGGATAATTTCAAGACATACAACAAGTTGAACACTGTGATTCTGACAAAGAATAGAGTCCAAGACGGCGAAGACACTGACACAGAGTATAACCATGCTCATTCTGGAGGTCAAGATCCCAAATATGAAGAGAACAATTATTCGCATCTGGCTTGTGAAGCTACTTCGAAGTCGGCATCACAAGAATCTGAAGAATCTGCTGATAGTAACAAATACGAAGACAGAAACAAAACCAGTGCAATAAACATTACTCAGCTATCCAAAGGCACTTGTCTAGATACAGATTATGAATTTACAAAAAATAATGGCGATCTTGGTAGTAGTGGAGTGTCTGAATTTGCGAAGGAAACACACAAGATATCTGATGGAACAACGCATGACTATTTCATCTTAGCGCCGGACCCAGCAGTAGATATGAAATCCTTTCATGTTGTTGAAGATGAACTCGGTAAAAAGGAACATGAAAACCACGAAGAAATGAATCATGATTATTTCGTATTGGAGAAAACTGAAGAAAACTGATGCATTAACTCATTAAATAAAAGTTTTATATTGTCTGCTTAACAGAATTATAATCTAGATTAATGTGGAATAAAATAGGGTCTCGTTTAAGCATAAAAGTGTTCATTGACATTAATCTGGTGTGCTTAATGAACTATACTGTATAGGTCAACATTTAAGCAACTTTATCATAATTAAATTTATATTCTTATAGAATACACGCATTTAAAGCCTGGTTATTCAATCATAAGACATTACTTGTATATAACGAATTTATCACTTTACGGATTTTATTGTCATATTTAAAACGAAATAAAAGTAGTGTTATTTGTAAATAAAATTAATCACCATCAGCACAAGTGTGTAATCTGTAAGTTAGTTCTCTATTAAAACATTATTTTAATATAAACGTGAATTTTTGAAAATCTTATTCACATTTATCAATAGGACGTAAGTATCGGCCGGTGTGTCAGTGTTAGTTTATATCATATTTTACTTCCTACATCGAATCCTTTCCTTACATACAGTTGCATGAGATAACATTTTCTGTTTTAATGTAATAAATCCATTACGTATTTATTTACATAACACAGATTGTCTGTCGTAAAAAAAGATTTTTGTGTGTTTAATCTCTCTCCCTTGTACCCTCTCCCTATTGTTGTTCTGTACCATGCTGAATGCTGAGTGCCTTGATGGTAAGCATGTGTGGTTGGGTTAAGTCGGGAGCTTCATTCTCCTTTCAACGTCGCCATGCCTTGTTGATCTTTGTATTCATTTTCATTTCAAAGCTTTCAAGAAGGTCAAGTTTTAATACTTGATAAAAATCATTTTAAAGAATTCTTTATAAAATGACACAGATAATAAGATAGAAATAGTCCATATACATGTATGTGGTGATACTTGACGTGACATTTTAGGACGATTTCTTTGCTTAATTTGTTTCGATATTTCGATTTTCGTTGTTTTAAATAAACAGTTGAATTATGTAAAGTGGCAAAATAAATTATAAATTGTACACTTCTTACGGATTTCACTGACGGATTTTTTTTTATTTAGATCACGTTAAAGTGTAATATCCTAAATAGTTGTATGATGCTTATATATTGCTATCAATTCAAAATTTATCTTGAAGAAACTGTTATCATTATTATAAAATAAAGCTGTAGTCATGCATGTGAAAATTAAGAATGGGGACGGCTGTTTTGCGACCCGTTTTTGCTATATACAGTGTAGATCGTTTTTGCAAACTCCGCCCAAACGGTAATGAAGCGCGGAAGAAAATGATAGAATAAACTATTATCTCACAGTTTAAAAAAATTGAAGCAGATCATTAGTTCTGTTAGTTAAGATAACCTTATACTTGAAAAGATGGATCAATCATACATTTGTTTGCATTTTTGGATTGTTTAAAACAATAAGTTTGCGAACTATTTTTAAACAAAATCTCTTTGCTATTTAGACAAACCATTATTGTATTACCTCCGCTATGAAGAGTTCTGAAATTGAACATTTAGGGGCGTGAGTCCAATACCTAGAAGCGTCTAAATTTATTTCTTTTTCTTTTTTTAAACATTATTTATGCATCTCTAACATCTGTTTTGGAAAGAAAAAAGTGTTTAATTTTAGTAATATATATATAAAACATAGATATTTATTGGGTAAATAATGTTATAGCAAATAAGGTATAAAATTGAGGAGTAAAATCCGTTTTTGCACAAGCTTATACCGCAATATGATTCAATTTAAGAGTCCAACCCGTTTTTGAACACACCTATATACCGAAAATAGATTCTATATAAGAGTGCAACCCATTTGTGTACATTCATAAATACCTTAATTATATCCAGTTGAAAGGGGTAACCCATTTTGTACACAACTTGATAAATAAAATATAAGAGGGCAACCTTTATGTTTTTTTGCATAGGCATAAATACTGTTAGGTGTGTGGCAGCAGTTGCCCGTACTTCACTTCAGTGTTGTCATATTTTTCTGGTTCTTCGGGGACTATCAAGTACTGAGAATTGAATACCGCTCATGCCGGTGCTAGGGGGCTTGAGGGATGCTGCACTTATTCATTATCCCTCATGTACAGATTCAATCAAACTGAGTCTGCAAATTTCATGTAATTTTGTTGTGATTAATGGTTCCGAGGGATCACTTTGTTTCCAGATTTTTATACAAAATAAATTTAAAGAGTGTGACCCGTTTTTGTACACGTATTTATAAATACCTTATATATATTAAATTCAAGAATACATACCTACAAAGCCAAAATATACTCCGCATGAGAGTGCAACCCGTTTTTGTTCACACCTACCTCTAGTCAAAATAGATTTTATTTAAGAGTGCAACCCGTTTTTGCACACACATAAATAGCCAAAAATAGATTGTATTTAAGAGTGCAACCCGTTTTTGCACACACCTATATAGCCAAAATAGATTGTATTTAAGAGTGTAACCCGTTTTTGCACACACCTTTATACCATACATACATACACACATACACACACACATACATACATACACACATACGTTAAATGGATTCAATTTCAGAGTGCAACCCGTTATTGTGCACACCTACATGGCCAAAATAGACTCTACGTAAGAGTGTAACCAGTTTTACAAAATACATAGAATTGATTCAATTTAAGAGTACAACCCGTTTTTGTACACAACTATATAGCCAAAAAAGATTGAATATCAGACATAGGACTATAACCCGTTTTTGCACACGTATAAATACCTTATATGGATTAAATTTAAGAGTGTAACCCGTTTTTGTACGCACCTTTATACAGAAGAGATTTAATTCAAGAGTGCAACTCGCTTTTGTACACATCTATATTTACTCGATACATACAATTTAAGAGTACAACCCGTTTTTTGCACACGTATAAATACCGTATATAGATTAGATTTAAGAATGCAACCTGTTTTTGTACATACATAAACACATTAATTAGAATAAATTCAACAGTGTAACCCGTTTTTGGAAATACATATATACCTTGAATGGCTTCATTTCAAGAGTGCAACCCTTTTTTGTACGCATCTATATAGCCTGATTAGATTCTTAATAAGAGTGTAACCCGTTTTTGCACACAACTATATACCCTATAAACAAATAATTTAACAGTGTAACCCGTTTTTGTACACTTCTATATTCACTTTAAGAATGCAACCCGTTTTTGCACACGTACAAATACCTTATATAGATTAAATTTAAGAATGCAACCCGTTTTTGTACCCACCTATCCAAAAAAGATTATATATAAGACATAAGACTGTAACCCATTTTTGCACACACCTATATACCCCCAATATATTCTAGTAACAGTGCAACCCAGTATTGTACTACATGGGCAAAAAAGACTCTACGTAAGAGTGTAACCCGTTTTTGCACACATAAATTAATACATTGAATCGATTCAATTTAAGAGTGCAACCCGTTTTTGTACACACCTATATAGCCAAAAAAGATTGCATATCAGACAAAGGACTGTAACCCGTTTTTTCACACACCTATTTACCCGAAAGAGATTCAGTTAAGAGTGTAACCCGTTTTTGCACAAACATGCAAACGTTAAATGGATTCAATTTCAGAGTGCAACCCGTTTTTGTACACATCTACATGGCCAGATAAGGGTCTACGTAAGAGTGTTACCCGTTTTCGCAAACACAAATTTATTGCATTGATTCAATTTAAGAGTGCAACCTGTTTTTGTACACACCTATGTAGCCAAACAAATTGTATGTAAGAGAGTAACCCGTTTTTGCTCACACCTTAGTACCGTAAAGAGATTCAATTCAAGAGTGCAACCCGTTTTTGCACACTTATAAATACCATATATAGATTAGATTTAAGAATGCAACCTGTTTTTGTACATACATAAAGACGTAATTTAGAAAAAACTGAAAGAGTGTAACCCGTTTTTGCATTACACATTATGGTTTCATTTAAGAGTACAACCGTTTTCGTACGTATCCATTATGGCCGACAATAGATTCTTTATAAGACTGCTACACACCTACATACCGTAAAAACAGTTGAAACATTTAACAGTGTAACCTGTTTTTGTACACATCTATCTATACTTAATGCAACCAATTAAGAGTGCAACCCGTTTTTTACAACACGTATAAATACCTTATATGGATTAAATTTAAGAGTGTAACCCGTTTTGTACACACCTTTTTACAGTAGAGATTCAATTCAAGAGTGCAACCCGCTTTGTGGTACCACATCTATATTTCACTCGATACATACAATTTAAGAGTGCAATCCCGTTTTTGCACACTTATTTATAACCGTTATAGATTAGATTAAAGAATGCAACCTGTTTATTTGTCCAAACATAAATTAAATTAAACAGTTCAAAAAACAGTGTAACCTGTTTTTGTAAAACATCGTTATACACTTGATGCAAGGCAATTTAAGAGTGCAACCCGTTTTTTACACACGTATAAATAGCTTATAATGGATTAAATTCAAGAGTTGTAAAGCCCGTTTTTTGTACACCACCTTAACAGTAGAGATTCAATTCAAGAGTGCAACCCGCTGTTTGTACCACATCTATATGTAACTCGATACATACAATTTTATGAGTGCCAACCCGTTTTTTTGCACACGTATAAATAGTGATATACTAGGAATTATGTTTAAGAATGCAACTGTTTTTTGTACATATATAAACACGGTTAATAAATAAAAATTTATCAGTGTAAGCCCGTTTTTTTGCACATACATATATACCTTTGAAGTGGCTTCTTTTAAGAGTGCAACCCTTTTTTTGTATGCATCTAATATTGCCTGATTAGATTCTTTATAAAGAGTCGTTACCCGGTGTTTTGCAAACAACTATACTTACTCTAAAAACAAAATAATTTAACAGTGTAACCCGTTTTTTACAGCCATCCTATAGTTCACTTTGATAATATGCACTTTAAAGAATTGCAACCCCATTTTTGCACACGTTACAAATACCTTATTAGTAGTTCATATAGATTAAATTTAAGAATGCAACCCTTTTTTGTACCCAGCCTATGATAGCACAAAAAAAAAAGATTGTATATAAGACATAGAACTGTACCAAAGATATTTTCTATTAGACAGTTGTAACCCGTTTTTGTACATAACACACATACGTTAAATTTGATTCAATTTCAGAGTGCAACCCGTTTATTGTAGCACACTACATGGGCAAAATAGACGCTAGGTAAGAGTGTAAACCCGTTTTTCACACAATAAATAGCATTGAATCGATTCAATTTAAGAGTGCAACAACCCGTTTTGTGTACACACCGTTTATAGGCCAAAAAAGTATTGCATATCAGACATAGGGACTGTAACCCGTTTTTGCACACACA